TTTTACTAATCTAATTATTTCTATTAGGTAATTGTAATTTGGACTCATTTTATTAGACACACAAAAATATGTTGTAACCTTAAGTTATACAGAGAATTAGTATAAAAGTAACTTCTACTAAACTACATGACAGGCCGGGCACCGGTGGCTCACGGCTGTAATTTCTCAGTGCCAACCTCTGTCCCTGTCCCTGCCACTTCCATTTTGCTACTTACCTGTAATTCACTGGACATCAAGTTCAACTTATTCTAATGGTGTTTAAAGTACGAGTTAATACAGAACTTGGGAAGGGGAGGTGTCCAAGAAGACACAAAGCCTGGGCAGACCGGGGCAGACCAACGAGGCAAGAGCTGGAAGTCAGCTCAGACAGAACTACGGGCAGAAACGCCAGGACGGGCTTCGGATACAGGCGAGGAAGACCACTGCCTGAAGAACATCCTGAGAAGACCAGTGTCCAGCGGACATCGAGTGTGGGGAAGAGGGAGGCGTGAGGTGACACTGGGCAGAAAAGTCGAGGTCACAGCACTGTGCAGCCACCTGCACAGGCGGGGAGCTCAGATCCCATTCCAGAGGCCACGTGCAGTTTTTACACCAGGAGAGCAAATGCCAGGTCTGTGCTTTCGATCTGCCATTCTCACGTCTATGTTAATGGAGAGATAGTAATGAAGACAGTATTGAAATAGACCGAGCAAAAGACTGGTAAAAGGGCCTAAGATAGGGAGATAATATTAGTAGTGATTTTTAAATATTTTAAAAATACATACAACACTATAAGATAATTGATAATAGAAAAAAAAAATTTAAGGACCTGGAAGAAAGAAAAGGCATTGGAGAGAAAAACCATGGTGGAGAGTATTTTCTGGAATAGTTACTTAAAAGGAAAGAAATCCATCTACGTATTCCCTGATGGCATCGGACATGTAGCATACTCAAAAAATGCTTATTAAATAGAACCCAAAAAAATCACAACATGATTTCTCCCTGCTTCAACCCCTCCAACACTGAGTTCTTTAGCATCACGCACACTAATGTTCACATGCTATTTCTGATAGCAGCTGTATATATAAGTCATAGTAAACAACAAAAGTATAAAAGCTATTATGGACAATTTTCTTTCATTTACTTTTAACAGCAGGTAAAATCAGCCAGCATTACAGAAAATAATATCAAGAAATGATAAAGCATAAAAATAGCTAATCATAAAAAAAATCCCGTAAAGTGAAATTCACTTGACTGGTTTTTTTTTTTTTTTCTTGTCCTCACCAAAGGTAGTATTTAAAAATGAGGTTTAGAAACATCCTGAATGTAATAGCAAGTAAGAACTCAAAAAGCAGTATCTTTTTAACCATTAAGTGACTGGACCCTGAAGAGAAGATACAGTGTAATGAAGCTTTAGTGATACAACGATACTTTTTAATGATATAAAGTAGCTTATTATTAACTTTCTGCAAAGTATTGGGGAGGCAAGGAGGCAAGAAAAGCAGATGAAAGGCAGACATTAAATGGATATGGTGAGATAAGTGAACTTGATTTTTCTCCCAAGGTTAAAAAAACAAACCACTTTTAGTAGTGCCTTCTTTCCTGCCATATGAAGGCAAAATGTTCTGCCTGAATTTCCAGGTCCTCTGTAGTCTGAACCATATAGCATAGACACACTCCCTGTCCCCACCCCCTGTCTAGACACCCACTGACCACCAGGCCGGCTGTCCTCTATCCTGTCCCCCAACATGGCCATCCCTCTTCCTATACCTGATCACTCCCCAGCCATACCCCAAAGGCTAGCTCAGGAGTCACCCTTTCCACTCTGACCCTCCAAGTCGTTCTTTCTTGGAATGCCCACATCACTTAGAACCTTCAAGACACAACCGAAAACCTAAGTATGTAGACTTTATTAAACATATTTGTTTTCTCACTCTTTGTGCTAGTTTTGATCTCCAACTAAACTGAAACTTTGTCAAGAATAAATGTCTTACACTGTATCCATTCCCAACAATGCTCAACCCCTGCATCCATTCACTCACTAACTGTGGTGTACACACCTGCTACACGCTGGACAGTATTCTAGATACTTCAAAATACAGCACTAAAAAACAAAACAAAACTGAAAAAGCTCTGTCTGCTGACATTCTGCGGGGGGTGGAATGAGAGGGAGAGTTCTAGGAGACCAGGTCAGGGACTTAACAAGGAGCCAGCCAGCTCAGAGCCTGTGAGACACAATAAGGAATCTGACTCCCCTGAGTGAGAGGAGGAGCCCTTGGAAATTTGCAGCAGAGAATTGACCTGCTAGGACTTATGTTTTCAAATCCTCATTATGGCTACTGCTTTGGAAATCTCTAATAAGGAAGCAAAGGCAGAGCAGGAACCTGTAATAATCCAAGTGAGAAGTGGTGGGGTATTAGACCAGGAGAGGCTAGTAGAAGTGTCAAAGGATCAGATTCTGGGTGCATTTTTACTGTTGCAATGACAGGATTTTCTGATGTAATGGATTTGGGTGACAAAAAAACAAAGGAGTCAACAGTGGCCCAAAAGATTTTGGCCTGAGCAACCCAGATGACAGAGTTGTATGAGGCAAGATGCAGAGACTGCAGGAAGAATAAATTCAAGGTGGCAGGAGAGGGCAGGAGTTTGTTGATAGATATAGGAAAAAAACTCCATAAATATTGATCACTTATTCCAAGTTGGGGTTTATTTGTGTTTCATCTTAAAAATCAATGACCCAATTACCATCTCTATTGTTCATAATATCAGTGTCTACAGTTATACTTTTATGAATTCAAGGTTATGAGACAAATTCAGTTTCGATGAGTTCAACCCTTTCAAAAAACACTTTACAATTTGGGATTGTTTTCTTTCTTTTTAAATGTGGTGGTGGTGGTAGCAGAAGAGAGGAGAATCATTGTCAACCATCTAGCTCATAAAAATGTTCCTGTAATGAACTGTTATGTAAAGTCAGGATAGTAAGTAAAATAATTCCTTTATACCACTGATTTATACAGGCAGTCATGCATTCTTCATCAAAGTTTTATTGAGTGCCTGAGATAATGCGGGCATTGTATAGGATACAAAATTATTAAAACTAGATTCCCCAACTCAGGGAAAGTAAGGGAATTTCAACATCTGAAAACAAATCAATATGAATGAAAAGAATTCAAATGATGGAAGAAGAGAATGTAGCACAGCCATGACGAAACAATTCCAAGATCATTCAAGGAAGTAGATAACATACATTGGTCATAGAACTATGAAAATGGTTGTGAAAAAAATAGGTTGAAAAATCAGGAGGGCTTTTTTTTTTTTAACAAGACAAGTATCATGCTAGTGCCAAGAAGTTTTTTCAGTATGCAATGAAAAGTCAGGGAAGGAACATAAATACAACGTGATGGTAAGATTTTCTCATCAGTACTCAAGTGGAGGAGAAAGAAAATAGGCCAATGCTATGAGTTGCACACAGAGGACAAAACAATGTATTGGGATAAGTGCTACCAAAGTAGCAACTGATTCTGCTAAAACTATTCCAAGACTACATACAAAAGGCTGGGAATCTGGAATCAATGGTAGAGTGTGTGTGCGCACATGCGCACGCGCACAAGTGGGTATGTTCTGTGGGTATGTATGTGTGTATGTAGAAATAATACGTATATAATAGCGTACTCAAAAGAATAAGTATTCAAAGATAGAAATAACAATTATGAGTGATATGCAGACTGTGGGGCTTGATGAAAAGTAGAAGACGCAACTATGACTTAGGTTCCCAGTAGGCAGACTAGAAAGACAGTAATACCACTAGCAGAAAATAAAAACTAATCTAGAAAAGGATAAGTATGCTCTGTGTGTGTGTGTGTGTTCATATATGTGCAGGTTGTATGCACACATTAAAACTAGGTTCAAAGAGTCAAGAAAATCATGGTCTTGATGAAAAAAAATTTTTTTTTTTTTTTGAGACAGAGTCTCACTTTTGTTGCCCAGGCTACAGTGAGTGCCATGGCGTCAGCCTAGCTCACAGCAACCTCAAACTCCTGGGCTCAAGCGATCCTCCTGCCTCAGCCTCCCAAGTAGCTGGGACTACAGGCATGCGCCACCATGCCCGGCTAATTTTTTGTATATATATTTTTAGTTGGTCAATTAATTTCTTTCTATTTTTAGTAGAGACGGGGTCTCGCTCAGGATGGTTTCGAACTCCCAACCTCGAGCAATCCGCCCGCCTCGGCCTCCCAGAGTGCTAGGATTACAGGCGTGAGCCACCGCGCCCGGCCTCTGAAAATTTTATTCTAACTGCAGAGGAGTTTCCTTGAGAAAGTCTCAGTAGGAAAATGGCTACCTGTCCAAATGTCTGATCCACTTCCAGCAACAAAGTATTTCTAACTGTGCTTCCCTTACAAGTAATAAATGCTCAGGATTTATACTACTGGACACAGGCAATCTTTCAGGTTTGTTTTTACTATGTAAAAGAAGTGATATGTTGAATGAAATGTTTCTTTTTTAAAATGCATCGAAATGTTTTTATTGCCAACAGTGAAAAATCATAATAAAGATATATATTGGACCCCAAATTCATTACAAATTTTCTATCAACTTTACTATGTGATATATTGCCATTTACTAGTAAGGTAGTTACTGTTTCAATTTTAAGCCAAAGCACATAAACTCTATAGGTTGTTACTTTTAAATTAAACAAATGCTGCTGTCTGCTTGTAAAAGAAAGGCAGTTCAGTGTCTCATTTTCAAAAGTAACCTTACTTTATAGATATTGAAATATTTTATATATTTCCTATGATATTTTAATAACTTTCTTCTACTTGCAATTATTTATCATGTAACTTGTTTAAAGAAGAGATACAAATTTTTATTTCTTAGAGAAGTTTTTTATAGTTACAGTATACTTTTTAGATAAATTCATTTTTCTGCAGTTTATTTCTTTCAAAAATAATGATATGGAAGTATACAGCAACTTCATTTTCTTAATTTAAGAATCTAGATATTTGTTGAATAATTGACACAGTTGATTAAAGTAACACTTAGAAGAAATGTTTTAAATATTAGGTCCTGAAATGCTATAAGGAAATTTCCTACTTGATTCTCGTTTTTTGTTCCCCTAACATGTGTTTTTTATGATGTATTGAAGAAACCAGTCTCACCTGTTTTTGATTGTTGATTTCTTCTTGGTTCCTCAGGGGCCTCAATTGGCTGATCAGCCAAGAAAACTCGAGCCTGGTCGACAGCATTCAGGACAGAATATTCTTTCTCCTTTAACTCCCGTCTCAGTGCCTTTGCAAAGAGAAGCAAAAGTTGAATTGGTAACCTTATGTGTTCACCAAATAATGGAACCTCTTCAGTTAAGACCACTTCTGACCACACTGTCAAATGAATGACTAACAATCAGCATTTAAGCTAAGTTAGAAGTGTAAATATACAAAAAATATGAATAAAAGCAAAAAGATGACTCCTGTAGAACTTAAATATGCCAAATAAAAACCACTTAAAAATATTCACCTAAGGGAAATTGTTACAGTGTATTTGAACTTACAGAAAATGTACTTTTAGGCTTTTCACTAATGTCAGATTGCTAAAATATAATAGCCTGTTCTAAGATACTTTTTCTTGTAAGACTGACTGACAAAAAAATTACATCCAAAAGTACAGAAGAAGGTAATTTCACAAGGAGTAATGAGATCCTCAGAAGTGCTTTACATTCTTTAGAATACACTGAGAAAAAAAATTAAGAGATAGAAACAAATTAAAGTACCTACATGAAGTCAAAACTAAACCAAAGACAGCACATATAAAACAGTCTCCAATTATCTTAAAATATGTTCCATCTCTCATGCTGAGGCAATTACTATTTTTCCTTTGTGAAGTTTTTCATGCAAATCTATGATTCTCAGAATAGTTTCTCTTTAGCACTTTCATTCTTTTAAGTGAAGCTAAACTTTCACCCCTGCACCTATAAAAACAACAAACCTCTTTTAGTGACTACTGCAAGATAAGAGTAAATGAAGAGTTTCTCATGTGCAATTTTAACACTGTTGCTAAATCAATATCCTAAATATTGTTATCCTCTTAAAAATATACATATAAACACAGTTCTAATACTTTGCTTTTGGTGCAGTTCACTGGAAACATATTATGCAAACTCACTTTGTTATTTTCTAAAATACTGCATTCTTAATAGTATTTTAGAATCTATAAAACCTTTCCTTCTGAATATAACTAATTTTTTAGTAGTATTTAACTATGTTGGTATGACAGGGTTATTTGCAGGCTAAATCCTTATCTTACACAGTTGATAAAAAGTAAAAATAAAAATATCTAGAAGTACCAGAGTAATCATCTTATGTAATTATATGGAGCTAAATACCAAAAAAACACTGGTAGTGAGGGGAGGAGAGATGAGAAGAGCTGGCAAGGAGCAGTGAGAGAGAGAATGACAAAATGCTAATTTTTGTGTAAACACTGTAAATTTTTTTGACTTTTAAATTGTGTACAATTATTATTTCAGTTAAAAAAACTTTAATTAAAAGAATAAAAGGTAACCAAAAATCCCACCAATCTGCAATTCAGATACAACAATGAAATACAGGATATGGGATGAAATAAAGCTCTCTAAAATCTACAGATACATTTATGCAACCTTCCTAGTATCCATAAAGCCAAAAACTGTGAAGCAAGGCCAAGTCGACAAAATTCTGACCAATGAGCATTAAATGACATGTTAGGAGGGAAAGGACCAACCCTCCATCATCTCTTATTTAAGAAATGCAGCTTGTTCCTAACACAAAGAAATGATAAGTGATGATGGATACCCCAATAACCCCGATATGATCATTACACATTGTATGCCTACATCAAAATAACACATGTACCCCATATATATATATACAATTATCATGTACCCATAATAATTAAAAAATTAAAATTTTTAAAAATTAAAAAAGAAACAACAACAACAAAAAAGAAACTCTTCTGTGAAGAAGTTCCATGGTATAACATTCCAGGAAATAAAAAAGATCATCTTCTTACATTTAAAGTTTCTGATATGTGGAAATAAAAGAGACACAAGAGAAATGGAAAAAGATATTTTTAATCCAGAGATATATGTACATATTTACAGGTCTTGAGCCAATTAACTTAGGTTATTGTGTTATTAGAGCAAGAAGCTCTAGAGGAGTAAAAATAACCCTAGTATTTATTTCCAAAACCACCTGGAAATACAAAATAATGATATGAAAAATCATGTTGCTTAAAAAACACCAGTGAAAATCAGTGGGTAATACACCAAAATTACTTTAAAAAATTTTAGTGGTCAAGAGTATTTACTCCCCCAACCCAAAACTAACCAGTAAATGTGGGAGTGGTAAAGACCACACTGTGGTCTGCAAATGCTATGCAAGAACTGTGCTAGATTTCTTCTTTTGGGAAGGAACATCCCAGGAATATTATCTATTTACTGTGAGCTGTGGAAGAGAAGGTAAAGGCACTAGAACACCTTTTCAGTCTTTTCAGACAAACAGGAGGACAAATTCACAGACAGTACTTAGAGACTTAGCACAAAAGGGAAACTTGAAAACACCAATAGGTAATGATGTGGAAGGAAATGAAAAACTGAGAGAAGAGGCAACACAAAGGAATGTGACTCAGAGAAGAAGAGCAGAGGCAGTACTGGTCCTCCGGAAATATAAAACCATTAGGGGGCGTGTAGTTCACAGTGGGTGAATCCAGATCTTATAGTATAGAAAGGAGATACTGTGATCCATACAACTTAGGTGTATGGTAATTCCCAACTGGGAGTTCTGGACTATTATTAATAGTAGTCCACAAAATGTGCATTACTGAGTAGGGGTGTGGGGAGGGAAGAGGGCAAAAGAGAGATTTATCTTGGAACTAGTTTTAGAATTTCCAAAAATCCCAATGGAAATACACAGTTGTCTACAGAAAAGATACTTGAAAAAAAATGAACCCATCAATTTCCATTTCATGTATGGCTGAAATTTATCAATTTAACATGATGCTGTCACAATAAAATTTATTTGGCTGGCTGTTAACTATGCCCAGAAAGTTCTTTCTCCAGATAGCCACTTTGCAGATTCTTCACTGGCTTTAAGTCCTTCTAAGAAGCGAGGCCCACTCACCAACCCTATTTAATGTAGCATTCCTCCTTTCCTACCCCCTGCATTTCCCAGTCCCCTTACTCTGCTGAACTATCACCTTCTACTATGCAAGGTAGGTAATCAGTTATTCGTTTATTGCTTAATCTCTGTCTCTCTCAGATAAAATATAAGCTCCATGAAACCAGGGACTTTCTCTGGTTTCTTCACTGTGGTAAGCAAAGCACCCAGGTCAATGCTGTGCCCCGGGGCCTGGTAGAGTCACTGAGGGCCCTGCAATGCTTCCTGGTGGAGGTAGTGCCTAAACTGAGTCTAGCAGAGAGAGAAAGGCACTTCCACGAGAGGAAACCAATCACTAGCAGAAGAATGAGCGTCACAGTTGTGCCCTCAGAAAATTGCAAGCACTCTGGTACCCAGAGAGTGGTCTCAGCTGAGGCCCAAGGTGTGGGCAGAGACCAGTCCAGAAAGACAGCTGTATGGGCTCAGCTGCATCTGAGACTCAACCCAGTCACGGGTGACAGGAAGCCACGGAAGAGCTGGACAAGTTGAGGGAGAAGGAGGGGGACTGTCAGATTTATATTTTTGTTTTTTATAACATCATTGTCAGGTCTCCTAGATTGATAAAAAACAAGTCTGAGTCTATGAAAGTTCCACAGGTCTAGAGAATCTATTTTCCCTCCTGACCACATGAAACTCCGGCGCTTCATAAAAAAATCCTCTTGGCACAGGCTGCTGGCCGGGAACTGTCTCGTGAGCTCCTTTGATATGCCAAGGAAGGGAAGTACGGGAGGCAAGTGTGGGCAAGTGAGAACCGCGCCACGTAAGTACAAACACGGGGCTCCAGCCCTAATGCCAACTCGACATCTAAATATCCTAGAGAGCAGCACACATACAATAATGTCTGCTCATGCCTTTTTTTGTAAATTTAATTTTGTTGTTCAATTTGTCCTATTTCAATTATATTTAATTGCATGTCAGAAATGGATTTAACTTTCAACAGCATTACACATATAATCATTTCACCACCCTTTACCTCTCAATTAGACATAAAAGAGACCTGCATTTTCCAGCCACCTGGTGAACATTAATGATAAGGTAATTAGACTCCAATGTGTTGTTTTGTATACAGACCTACAAAGTGGCATTCAGGTGTAGGTTCCAATATCACATGACTTGTATGTATATATGGGCCACCTTAAATGAGTATATAACATAATCTAATTGAAATGTTTCTCTTTTAATGACTTTATATTTTCATTCAAAACAATTGTTTCCAGACAATAACAAATATTGGTGAGGCTGTAAAGAAACTGGAATCTTCATGCGTTGTTGGTGGAATGATGAAATGATATCATTTTGTAGAGCAAAATTTAACAAAGAAACCCAAATCTGTTCAGTCTAAATTGAAATAATTAATGGATTCCGGTTAGTCCTGGATTATTTTAATGATCTACTTTGCAAATTACTCTCAATAATTTTTTGATGTAAAGTTAGTTTTCTTCTATCATCTATCAGCTAGTCTGAGCTAAACCTATCAGTCACCTGTTGGTTTTTATTTTATTAATAGCAAATATCCTTTCCTCTCCCTGGATAAACAAGGAACTCATCTCACTGCAACGGATGTATGGGTTCATTCCATCTCTTCCCATTTTTTTCACATCCTAACCCATCAGGTAGCTCTGTAGGGCATGGTTTCAAAACTACTGCTAGTCATTAAAGTTCAATGGTGTATCCATTATCACCATTGCATATCAAACCCCACTAAAACTTAGTGGCTTAAAACAACAACGATTTATTTTTCATGATTCTGTGGGTTGGCAATTAGACCAGTTCTCCTGCTAGTACCAGCTGGGATTACTTGTGAGGCTAAAATCATCCGCAGCTTGAATGGGGCCAGAGGTCCATGGTGGCCTCACATGCCTGGAAATCATTGCTGCCTACTGGCTGGGGCACCCCTGTTCCCCTGTATGTGGTCTCTAATTGCTGTCCAACATAGTGGCCACTAGTCACATGTGGTGATTTGGCACTTGAACTGTGGTTGAACTAGTACAACCGAGGAGCTGAATTTTATATTTTATCTAATTGTAAGTGATTTAAATTTCAATATAAATGGGCACGTGTGGCTAAGGGTTACCATCTTAGAGCAGTTCTAGATTTTGCACA